TTTAGCTCAGCGGCAAAAGCGCCTGCCTGGCAAGCGCAAGGTCGTGAGTTCGGTTCCCGGTACCGGAGAAAAACAAACAAACAAACAAACAAAAATAAATAAATAAAATAAAATAAAATATTCAGTGGTAAAACATATATGTAATAAAAAGTAATCTGTGGCCCCTACTCTACTCTTACCCCATTTTATGCTTAGTCAAATAATTTACTTGTTCCCTGAAAAAAATACCTCTCAGCCTGCATACACTTGCCCACCTTAGTATGAATTTTCATATATTTGAGGGACTATCACATTGATTTATTTTTCAAACTGTGTTATTGTGATTGAATGAATATTCTGTGTATTTAAGATCAATGATTTACATCATACTATATGCATGCTTTAACCATATAAAAAAGATATCAAACAACAGCAAATGCTGGTGAGTGCGGGCATGGGGATATGGAGAGGAACTCTTATTCATCGCTCGTGGGACTGTTAATTGCAATAAATACTATGGAAATCAGTATGTGAATTATTGAGAAAATTAACCCTAACAATTGCATTCAAATTAAATATTCTCCTTTTGGTATCTTCCTCAGAGAATTGAAGAGACCATAATGCAGTGCTATAGTCACACTGATGTGCATAGTAGCACAATGACTAGTAGCTAAATCTTCAAAGGAGCCTCTATGTCCATCAACAGATGAATGAGTAAAGAAAATGTGCTATTTATGTACAATGGAATACTACTCTGCTATGAAAAACATGCTTAAGTCATTTGTAGAAAAACAATGTACAACAAAATATGTTAAGTGAACAAAATCAGACATTGAGCTTAAATATCACATGGTTTCTCTTATATGACAAACCAAAATTAAAAATACAAAGCAAAATGAAAGATAGGTAACTGAGGATTGATTTCTAGCATGAGGGAGGAAATCAAGAGATGGAGGGATTGGGGGACAGGGGATGAGATACAACCCGAACAGGGGAAACTGTGAAGTTCTCGCATGGAGCAAATACCTGTGAAGAATGTGATCACCATGTACTCCAAACACGGCAGAGGAAGGGGCGGAGGGGAGGGGAGCGGGGCAAAAGAAAAATGAACACAGAACATGCACTTGTACCAACTCCACACCATGAATCTGATCACTATGTGTAACAACCATGCACCAATAAAAAATAAAAAAGAAACAAACTTCAGTGCTCACCCAGGTTCCTCTCCTTGATTCCTGGCAGATCCTGGCCTACTCACTTTGCTGACAGGAAGTGTCTTTTCCTGTGAGCTGAGGAAGATCCTTACAGCAAGGGCAACCTCTGTGAGATCACGGAGACAAAAGTATAGCACCTCTGTACACCTCTGTAAGGGTTTCCCCAGACTGACAGGAGCAGAATCTGGAGGCTCTCCCTTGCCTGGTGCAGGCCTAGGTGGTCACATTCTCCCCGTGTTGACCTGGGGCTGCATCTGGCAAATCAAGCCCACCCTCTCCCTAGGACAGCAGAGGTGGAAACACTGGGCAGGTGACTCTTCTCCGAGGTCCTGCCTGAGGCCATCCCAGCCTGCCAGCAGGGGCAAGTTTCCCGTATCTTGGAGCTGCTGATCTGAGGCCTCACTCCTCAGACCAAGGCCCCCTCCTGCCAGATACCAGGAGCCAGGGGCCAAGGTGCTCTGCATCCCCCATTTCCTGACGTCTAGGTGGAGGTCATCCTCTTTTCTAGTGACAAGTGTCCCCTCCAAGTCCCTCTAAGTCCTCCCCTTGAACCCTGGAAGCAGCCCTACCAGCCTGCGAAACTGAATCCTCATTCCTCAGATTCCAGGTGGGAAAGCAGGACCGCGCTCAGACTGAAAGAATGGGCAGGCTGGGCCCCATCTGCCATGTGTCCTGGGCCCCGCAGTCCTGCCGAATTTTTATCTTGACTGGGCCAGTCCTGGTATCCCCCTTTTCCCGGTGGTCC